AACCTGCATTTCAGACGCTCCACAAAAGGCAAAGTTACACCATGGGATCAAGGCTGCGAATAATTGCAGCACATTCTTCCAATTATTTATTTTTCTGCATTTAAATTACTTCATTTGAGGGGGGAATTAAGTGAGAGACATGCAGACTGGCAGAGGTCTCTACTGCATTTACTTTTGGTGTATGTAGACAAATTTAAGGCTCGGCTATTATTATGTCCTGAAAATAGATAAAGGAAACAATAAACATTCTTCTTATTTCTTTATTTTGAACTATAAGAAATGTTAATAAACAGCGAAACTTTAAATTATTATAAGAATCAATAATAGTTGTAAAAGTATTTATGCTGCTGTACTTAAACAATGGTAGAAGTACTTGAAAACTACATAATATATTTTTATTTACAGGTTTGTTTATTGGGTAACTTAATTTATAATTAAACTTTAATGAAAAATAGAAAACCTTAATTTCTTTAAACTTTACAAGCTAGTCTTCAGGCATTCAAATTAGATATAAAATTTAAGAAACAGTTTAACCGTCATAGATTCTCTAAAATGTTTGTTTGTCCCTTAAAATAGATAGCAAACGATTTCTTTGATTCATCAGATAAAGATGCAATTTCAATGATGAATTAATAAGGGCAAGTCGGGAGTACAGAAATCAAAGAATGTCTTTAAATACTTTTGTGAGATTTTATTTTAGGCTGGCAATTTACTCAAAACCAAACCCATGTCACCCATGGTGCTGGGCTTCGGTTTGCTCTGCACAGAGTAGATGTTCAGAATTTCAGCTGTTGCCATTGCCAGGGCCGTGGACATGCACGTGGACATGGATGTAGCTGTCTCTGAATATACACGTTGGATGCTGATGTCGGACCGTTGGACTGGGCGACAGACCGACATTTCTTCACAGACAGTTTTCACTAATTATCTGACACGCTGATGGCTGCTGGGCCATGGCAGTTGCACTTGATGCAACGGTGGGTTGGAAAATGGGGTGGTGGCGGGTCTTTTTGCTGCAGCTCGTTGCGGCCAAGGACTCATTTGAATGTGTGTTGTTCTTGTCCTCACACTCACACTCACACGGACACGCCAACTTTACGTACACATCTCAGAACTCTAATTTCAAAGGTCGTGCCAGTGAAAAGTGAGATGGCGAGGGGTGAACGCTGTTTTCGGCTTTATTTTCTTGTCCATTTTTTTCCGTTTTTTTTTATTTGGCTTGTCCAACGTCTCTCGTTTCGGTGTCATGTGTTTTAAGCCATGTGCATGTTTTATTTGGCGAACAGCTTTTTTCGTTTTGTGTGTTTTGTTATGTTTGGGCTGCATCGGTTGGTAAACCGAAAAATGTGCGAAGGACAACGGCGAAAAGGGGCGTCAATAATTGAACGCCACCAGTCGAGAGTTTTGGGGTATCAGCAGCTGTATCCAGTATCCCGTTTCCACTTTCCACCATCGGGCAGCTAAAAGTTGATTAAATTTAAGTATTCGCCAGCTCCGGCTTTTGGTTATGCCCTCTCGAAATCCGGCTGCAACTCCGGCCATTTGCATTTGCTATTCCATTCTTGATTTGAGCGCGGGTAATTGTGCTGCGAAATTATTAACGATTACGTATTTATGCGGCAGTTGGTGGGCGTGGAATTTGGGGCATCCGTTTGGAGGGTGTTGGCCAACGTGGCAAATGCGAAATGCCCTTGATTATCACGTATACGACACGGATACGTGCGAGATTTATTTTTGTCATTAAGCTGGAGTGTGCAGTTGAATGGAATCAAATTGAATATTTGCTACAATATAGCTAATATTGAACATAAATATTTACTTATCATTTGATGGTAAGCCTTGAAATTGTTATACCAATTCAATAGATACAATACCAACACATTACATTGCCCTGTCAGCTAGCATCTGAAGTTATGTATAGCAATATAGTTGATTTTGTATATTGTCTTTGTTTTGACCTAATACCAAGTAAGTTGTCCAATGTAAATAAATGATTTATAACCCCTATTAGTGCAGCTCATTCTTTATTAAAAGTATCTTACATTCCTAAGTACATACCAACTTACTTTGAATACTATTGTATTTAATTAATAAACTCATTCAAAGCAAACTAAAAACAACTTGTAAAGCTTTATTATACCCTGGATATGCCACAAAAATCATACAACTGCAGTTTATACATTATTCTGTCATTAAGTTAGTGGTTCTTCCTAACTTTTCCAAGGCAGTTATTTTTCGAGTGTTCCGCCATTAAATAAACCCATTCAACGCAAACTGAAGCCACTCACAACCAGGCAATGTATGTCGCCAATTAAGCATTTGTTCGGCTTGTCATTGACACCAAACTTGCCAGCCCTGAAAGTTAGTCCGGCGAGCGCAAACTACCGAATACAATCACATAAATCTAATGGAAAAAAACTGTCAACTACTTGGCTAAAAAGTTCAGATGTCCCATTATAAACACACAGGAGCAAATATTCCTTGAATATTCAGAGGCAGCAACAAGCCAAACTTGTTAACAGGGGCGCAAACATTGGTATGCTAAAAATTGGCCAACAGTTGCGGCAGCTGCGCAGAGAGAGAGAGCGGCGAAAGGACTCTCTCACTCTCTCTCTTTTTGGGCCCATTTTCCTCTGCTTCTGCACAACTGTTGAATTTTCCTCTGCCGCGGCCCACAACAGATGTTGCCGCTGTTAACTGTTATTTACTTTTGCGGCAGTGGCAGCAACAGTTATAATTTTTGCCTGGCTTCGTTTTATGTCCTCGGATGATTTATTTTTGTACCGCCTGAGACGGAGGAGGCAGTAGTACCATTGGCCCTGGCCATAAGGCATGTGGTCTTTGTTTGGATTTATGCGTGTGTGTTTGCCATGCCGCCCCCCTTTATCTCCACCACCCCCTACCCCCTCCCCAGTATATATTTTCATCTCTTTCCCGGCACTTCATCCCTCTCTTTCATTTGCCTAGATTGTTTGCACGCCTGGCTGGTTGGATATTGTGTTTGGGCCAGAGATAAGACGCTTAGGCTGTGCACTCACAAAAATTGTTATTGTTGTCGATTTTTTTTTCTTTGAGGTTTGAATTCATTGAAATTGTTCTGTGGTCAGTGAATGGCTTTAAGCCAATTTTCAGGCAAATCCCAAAGGGATCAAGGTGAACTTCTGTGTGTGACTTGCTTTAGTTTTCATTTGGCAGTTGAGGTAATTCGATTTTGAGTTCAAGTTTGCTTTGCACAAATTTCATTGAGGTCGTAGATGAACTTTGGTTATTGGGCTCATGTTGTTTTGTGGTATATGGATGATGTTGAGAATTCTAAGCAAATTTAGACAGAATGGAAATAGGGAAATAAGTGGTGTTTATCAGGTTAACCTCAAATTTAATCATAGAAAGTAGTTGAATTTTAGTTATAAGGTTGGGTCATTCTTTAAATTGAGAATTACGAAGAAAGAAAGCATAGCTTAATTCTGCAAAAACAGAATATTTTATCGAATATTCTTTCAGTGTGAAAATGTGTGCGTCCGGAGCAAGTATTTGATCCTTTTAACTGAAATTTATGCAAACTGGCGGCTTCAACTTTTTCTATTACCCAACCATATCGTTTAATTAGCGATTGCCTCACGGTTTTCAGTGCCAGGACATGCAAGATTCAGGAGTCAGGGTCTGCTCCGCCCTTTGCATGTTGTGTGCGAGCATTGTTGTGCATTATTTTCTTCTACTTTGCATTTAATCATTTTTTAGATGATGGGACTGCTGCTGTTGATGGCGCCCATTGTGGCGACCCTTTTGTGTGCCATTTGCATCACAGCTGGCGTCGACATTCACGAACATGCGACTGCGATTACAGCAACGACTATGCACTGCGGAAATGAAAACAATATCCATTTCCATTGTAGGTTTTTATTCGGTATATATACATACATATACATACGGAATGAAGGGCCGCAGAAAGCGCAATGGAGGCCATAAGGGAGTCCTGTCGCTGCCATTTTCCCATGGGCCTACGGCCCAGAGCTCCCATATGTACATATAAACTCACACATTTCACGCGGCGACTGAGAGCCCGGCTTTAACTGTTACTCACACTCCCACTTACCTGTCATAGCTCGATACGGTCTCGATTCACTTGTCCTGTTTCAGTGATGACCACTTTTCTTTGGAATTTTTTCGTTCGAACGGAAATTAAAATTGGATTGTTGGAGGTGTCATCCAAAAAGGATTTGTGGGGCAAACACTATAATTGAAAATTCATGTTTTTATTATATGCTAACGTTCATAATATGAATAATGGTGTAAGAAGGGCATTGCCAAATTTATAATTTACTGCTGCATTCTTAAATAAATGCACATTGGAAAGGATTTACAATTACAATTTAACATTTTAGCTTTAAACTAAAAGTAACTAAATAAAATCCTTATATTTGAATTTTAAATAAAGTTTAAATAAGCTGGTGATATTCAAGTTCTTTTGTATAAGGAATTAAAATTATAATTTAAATAAGCTATGAATTAAAACAAATCAGGGAGTTATGTAGTCTGAGTTCAAATTTTGTTATATTAACATATTTTTGAGACCTGCGAATGCAATTAAGTATTTTCCGAGATAGTTTCCATACTTTCCCGAACAATTCTGGGCAGAAAATGGCCAAAGAATGTGGTTCATCACTGACCACTCGACATGGTCTACTACAGTGTGTACTGGGGTGCTGTTCGCTTGAGTGTGTATATTTGTGTGGGAGGGTGTGCGTGCAACAAGTTGAAATCTGCTACATTCATGCATAATGGAGGCAGACGCGAATCCGAGCCAGAAAAGTGAGCAAAACTATTGGCAAGCTGTCCTCGTTGGCTGGATGCTACCCTTCCCCCTCCCCCTCCCTGACTGCTCCATCTTTTGTGAGTCCTTGAATGGGGGCGGGAAAAAGCGGGCAGGATATTGGGCGATGATTGTCTATTGAATCGAGTGGGAGAGCCATTCTAATGTTTTGTTGCTCTTGTTGTTGCAGGTGCAGTCGTCGCCTTTAAGCGCCACTTGATGCCATCGTGACACACAAAGGCGTATCCATTGAAAAGGCAATTGACGAGAAGGAGAACGAGAACGAGATCGAAAACGAGGTAACCAGGGGGCGGCGGCGATGACACTGACGCATCCAAAGACGTCGCCACCCAGATGACGGGCAGGCATCAGCAGGAGGAGCCGAATTAGGTGCACCACCACAGCCCCGAGGACAAAACAAACCGATCAACGTGTCAACGTTTTAACGCGTCGAGGAGAATGCAAATAGGCGCCAAGAACAGCAGCAAAAGCAGCAACAACCGCCTCCAACCACCAGAGCCTCAGCCTGAGCCTGAGCCACCCAGCAACCATCTAGGCCAACATGGCGGATGCGGACGATAGCAAGAGTGGGAGCGGTGGCAGTGGTGGCAGTGGGAGTGGCGCCGAATCCCTGCAGCTGCTGACCAAACTGGACAAGGCCGTCTCCACCAACGATGTGCTGCTGGATCTCCAAAGAGCGCTCACCTACGAGGCTGTGTTCAGCACTCTGGTGGAGCACAAGATGCAGGCCCTCAAGCGGGACTACGAGGAGCACAAGAAGGCGAAGCGGCGCAAGCGGAAGTCCATCGGTCGCATCTTTCTGCCGCGAAAGCTCTTCGGAAGCGGCAGTCGCCGTTCCAGCAGGGAGGATACCCCGCCACCAGAGGAGCCCCAAGTGCATAAATCACCACCAACCACAAGTAGCAGCAAGACAAAGGCCAAGACAAAAGCCAGAACCAGGACCGATGACATCGAGGAGGCCAGCGGTTCGGTGGCCAGTTTGCAGCGATCTCATCCCAAGCGGCCGGAGAACTTGGAGGACAGCCTGGCCAGCACGGTGAGCAATTCCTCGGGTGCCCAGCGGCAGCACAGGCATAGCCACAGTTTACTGGTTCGCGCCCAGACCCACACGCCTGCACACCAGGTTGAGATGGATGCGGAGCGGAGATCCATCGGCTCGGAGGCCCAGCTCCCTGCCAAACATTCCACAACGATCAACGGCGAGTCGGAACTACTGCCCCCGATCTCCGGACACGACAATACCTCGACGACTGCCACAGCAACTGCCACAGTGACCGCCACGGGAGGAGGCACCACTTCCGGAGGAGGCGGAGTAGGGGGAGGAGTGCTCCACAGCTCCACGCTGGCGGACGACAGCCTGACCGCCTCGCTGCGCGGCAGCCTCGAAAGCCTCTCGTACAGCAGTTCCCGCTGCACCGTCAGCTTTGGCGGAGCGGAGGTGATTGCCGCTCCTGGGACGGAGGCGGAGTCCAGGGAGCGGGCGCGACTGGCCAAGAGACTGAGGATCCTGGAGGCCAAGTCGATCAGCGCCCAGTGCAGTCCCATCTTCCCCAGGCACGTGGTCCGCTCGTTTCCGCTGCAGTCGCCCCAACAAGCGGTGAGTTTGTGTCCTCTGAATTTAAGAGCCTAGCCCAAGCCACCCACCTGTGAATACTTAATCTCATTTAAAATACTAAGTAATTAACGCACGTAATACTATTTAATGTTCAATTAAGTCAAAGAGTTATATTTTTTACAATTTTTATTTTCTTGATTCTTGAATTAGAAAGATAGAAACTTTAAAATTACCATTTATGTCATACATGTTCTTTAATATTTTGATTCTTGAATTAAGAAAGAAACTTTTGAAATTATCATTTATTTTATACATTAACAAGAAAGGAAAGCTAACTTCGGGCGGAGCCGAAGTTGATATACCCTTGCAGAATATACTATAAATTATATTCTCCCAAATTATTCATATGATGCATTCTTAATACTCATAAAAAGTCCCAACTTCCTAACTTTAAAAACACCAAAGTTATGTCATTTCCAATCGTTCAGTTATATGGCAGCTATAAGATATAGTCGGCCGATCCTTATGAAATTTGGTAGGTCGGATTGATTGGCCAAAAATAAAACCCATAGAAAATCCTAACTTCCTAACGTTACAAACACCAAAGTTATGGCACTTCCGATCAATCAGTTATATGGCGGCTATAGGATATAGTCGTCCGATCCTTATGAAATTCGCTAGGTCGGATTAATTGGCCAAAAATAAAGCTCATAGAAAATCCCTTCTTCCTAACTTTAAAAACACCAAAGTTATGGCTTTTCCGATCGTTCAGTTATATGGCAGCTATATGATATAGTTGCCCGATCCGGCTCGTTCCGACTTATATACTACCTGCAATAAAAAGACAACTTTTGGGAAAGTTTTAAGCAGATAGCTTTAAAACTGAGGGACTAGTTTGCGTAGAAACGGACGGACGGACGGACAGACGGACGGACAGACGGACAGACGGACAGACGGACAGACGGACATGGCTATATCAACTCAGGAGGTGATCCTGATCAAGAATATATATACTTTATAGGGTCGGAAATGTCTCCTTCACTGCGTTGCAAACTTTTGACTGAAATTTTAATACCCTCTGCAAGGGTATAAAAAAAAGAATTTATTTGCCAACACACTTACTATTGTTATGCTTATTGTAACTATTTTTAAAAGGTTATACTTAAGAAATAACCATTGATATTGAAAATTTGTTGAAAATAACTATATAATCAAAGAATATATAATACTAAAAAAGTCATATGACGTACAAATATTCTCGAAATTTCATAGGCTCAGTGAATTTGCATATTTGCTAAAATATATTTTTCCATTCCCAGCGTTTGCACATCAATGTTCCCTCCAGTTTGGCCAAGATTCAGCCTCAGCCGCAGTTGCAGTTGCAGCAGCAGCAACAACAGCAACAGCAACCCCACGTGGCCTTGGAGATTGAAACGCTGCCAGCTCCCCTTCCCCAGCGAAGGCGTCTGCTGCCCAAGCAAATATCCTACACGGAAAGTGGAGCAGCTGGGGATTTTGGAGTGGGAGCGGGAGGAACAGAGGCCTTCACCCGATACTTCTCCCGCCAGAACACCTCGGAGGATAGCGCCAATGTGACGGTGAGCACGGTGTTGGCCCAAAGCGACTCCCAGTCGCTGCATGCCACGCCCAGCTATGCAAATACGCCCCCGGCAACGGGCGGCAGGAATCAGGAGCGCCGCAAGTCCCGCAGCACTGGACTGTTGGCCGTGCGTCCGCCATTTGGCGTGGATCCCAGTGCCGTGGTGATTCACATGGAGGGACGTGGCGAGGAGAGGGCCAGGACGAGGACTCTGCTGCCCGAGAAGCTGCACCGGATGACCTCAACGTCGACGGGCTCCAGTGTGGCCGCCACCGGTTGCTGCAGTGCGGCAAAGCCGAAGGAGAAGCCCAGTGAAAGCTTCAGGCCCGCCGCGATGCCTTCCGCGGCAGCAATGACAACGGCCCAGAGCACGGGCAGCGACGATGAGTACCGCCGGCGGAAGCGGAAGTACAGTAAGTGACTGTGAGCTCAAGTGGAGGATTCCTTAATCATTCAGAGCTTCTTTTGCACCCACCCCCATTCCAATCTCCCCCAGAGCGCCATCATCGCTGCTCGGATCCCGCTTTGGTCTATCCCACGCCCAGTGGTCTCCAGCACTATGTGCACGTGCTCGGCATCAATCCGGACACTCAGCAGCCCATGTAAGTCCTGTCAGAGGAAGAGTAGATAGTCATGGAGTCATAGTCATAGTCATGTTTTAAATTTTATTATATAGAATCCCTGAAACATGCAGTTTAAGGTTCTTTAATCTTTAAAATTAAATTGTTTTTTGATACTCTCAATGCCTCAGACTCACTTGAAATGTAATATTGTACATATAATCTTGTAAAAGAAAAAAATAAATGGCCTTAGTCACATTTGTAAGAACTAGGATTTAAGAATTCAAAAATTTTAAATTTTTTAGGTTTAAATTACCATTTTTAGTTTTTAAAAAACACTGGAAAACTAACAGAATTTGTATTTTTTTCATTTTATTGACAATTTATAAGATTGGTATTAGGATAAATAAATATTTTTTTAAATTCCAATCTTAATTTAACTGTATTTTAAAGTTGATTGAATGAAACCTCAACGGTTGTAAATGAAAATGTATTTTTTTTTAGTTTTTTTAGCTAGCAAAATTATTTATTTTATAAAAGTAGACAAGGGAAGTATCCCTTGATTTAAAAATTAAAGCCATACTTAAAAGCATAACGATAGCACGTTCAAATATCAAAGGTCCTGTCCGCTAATGTAATTTATTATCCGCAGACAATGCCCGTACGGTGAGGACTCGCCCTGCGACCTGCAGCTCGACATGGACATGGACATGGACTTGGATCTGGATAACGACAAAATGGACGACCTTGAGCAGATGGTCCCCAGTGGTCATCAGCGGCATCGCCGAAAGCATCGGTGAGTGGGCATCGAAAGTTCACAATGTACCCACCCCGTTGGAAATCCAAGAAAATCCTTTCAGCCAGCAAGATACATTGGCCTCGATGGCCAGGCCAAAATCGGCTTGAGTTGAGAAATGATCGGAAAGCACATAAATAATAGCGTATTTCAGGGGCCAGCTGATGGATGAATGTTGGCTCAGTTGGGCAGCTAGGACAGCCTTTGGACAGGTGCAGCACAACAAAGGACTGGCCGTGGCCTTGGGCTGCACTAATAAATGTCCTGCCGATTGGCGGTGCGATGGCGATTGTGATTGTGATTGCCAAATATGCCCTAATGCGTTGCCCTCCGTTTTTGGCTCCGCCACCATCATTTTTCCCTTGGGAGGTTCGGGTGACGTTGAGCAGGCAAAAATTGATTGACAAGCTTTGTGCGACTATTTGGCGGAGGGAGGGGAAGGGGATTTAGGTGATTCAGTGGGTGGGCACAATGGCATTGACTGTCAGCAGCCCAGATGTCTGATGTTGTTTCTGCCGCTGCTCTCCTTTTTTTCCGCCCATTGCCAGGAGCAACTTCCGTTGCAAAAATCGAGCCATGTTGTGTTTGTAGCAAGCGGTGGTTGGTGGGGCTGCGGTGTAGGGGAAATTGCGGCAGCTTTGTAATGCGGAAGTTTTGCAAAACCCAAACGGAAATAGAGCAAATATGTTTAAGCTCCCGTTGCAGGTAGCAGCTCACATATGTGGCTAAAAAGGGGAGGGCAAGGAGGTTCTCAGGCACACAAGCTAAACAGATTAATGTGCCAAATTTCTGGCAGAAATAATCATCAAATGGCATTAGGAGCAATGCCATGTAACTGAAACTTTATTTCCTCTTACAAGCACTTAATCAATTTATGGTTTTCCAAACCAACAAGTAATTTCCTTGAAATAACCTCTAGCATCAATTTATGTTTTAGAAGGCATTCAACGTGCAGATAGTCCTTTGAAAGTGGTTTACTTTACATTAAACTCCTAATGGAATGATTATATTAAAACAACAATCAACTTTGCCTTAAGCTTTATACTTAGGAAATGATGTTACTAAAGTATATATATTTTTATTTTTATCTCCCAACTCACAGACATCGCCACAAAAAGCGACATCGGCACAAAAAACCCAAGATTCTCGTGCAGGACTTGGACACAGAGGTTGTTAAGGTGAGTGATATCCTAGAATAAAATCCTCAAAGGTGTAATCCAAATAAATATATCCCATCAGGTGATTGATCCTCATGATCTGTCGCAGCGTGCCCGCTGGACAATAATTGCCACCGCCTGTTTATTGTTGCTCATGTGCCTCATGTTAATAGGGGTTACTTTGCGGATGGCACCCATCATCGATGATATGGGTAAGTCCCTGATACAGACACCCATTAAGTTTGTTGCCCGAAAACCAAAATGCTTTATCCCGAATATATTATAGTATTTTGTGTACCCTTCTTGCATTGCAGTCCTCTTATTGCTTAAGTGAATGTAACTCTAATGGAACAAGTGTTAAGGCCTAGTTTAAGATATTAAATACATAAAATGCGCCTCGTTATTATCCTAAATTCGTTGCAGTACAGACATTGTAAATATGCATATGTAGGCACGAATTGATATTATATATGTTCATTGATTGTATATCCAATAGTGCCTTAAGACCCAATAGATAAAGATGATGATCACATATCTAATGCCATGTGTATTGTGTTTTGTTTCGTTATATTTCAAATTTAGAATACCTAACGAAATGTAAGTACAAGCACATAAACCGAAAACCGAGAGGTAGTACCTAAAACTTCGGTCTATCGAAGTTGGTATAGTTCCCAAATTTGGCAGGATAGTTGCCAAAGATAGTCCTGGTAAATTCAGTTACTTACTTTTCCGGAGTTATCGAAAATGTTTTTAAATGGTATTTATTGTTAATTGGAACTCCCCCTAAAAGGGACCTCCATGTGTTGCTGTTAGAAAAAGCTTTAATGTTATGTTTGAGAGCTGTAAAAAGGCTTTGAGAAAAGCTGTCTTAGCCTGTAAGCTTGTGTTATAATTTCAGGATACAGCTTTAAGCTCAGGACATCTGACTGTTTTTGAGCTTGAGTTTATTTTGCTGAAACTTGAGCCAGCTTTTTGAGTGACTTTTTTTTTTTTTTTTTGCTAAAGCTTTTAGAATGCCGCTCAATCTTAATGCCTTTGCAACGCCCGAAGTGGGCACCCCCTGCTGCGTTTATGTGTGCCATTGTGTTGCATAACAACGCAGTAACGGACGCGGAACTAGGACAGTGTATCACATGTTGCATCTCACACAAACACAAATACAAACAGAACCAACACCAGTACAGCACAGTTCACATCCATGCAGCCTGGCATTTGTATTAGTTTCTGTGTTTTTGGCATAGATTTGCGAGCTGCTTGATTTGTGTTGCCGTTGATGTTTGATGTGGATGGGTCGCAACGGAACGGCCCCTCCTCCGTAATTATCAATCATCAATCATGCATGCCTTGGCTCACCTTCATTAGAGTGGAGAGCGATATAATTAGATGTTGATTAGAAGACGTTTCCCCCTTTTCATGCCCCTTCCCTTGACAATTATCCCGGATTCCCTGCTGCGATGGCAGTGCAAACTTTTGGCTGAGAGGCAATGAAATGTCAACAGGCAGCAGCTGCGACTCCTGCTTCTAGTTCTAGTTATATAGTACATTTGGTTCCTGCAGTCCTGGCCCTTTTCCAAGGCGACGCACTTAATCGGCAGCCACGACGGTGGCAGCACAATGGGGCTCACCGCAGCGTGACAGGGGCTGCTTTAAACTAATTTGCGTGGTGGCCCGCTTAGGCACAGTGGATAAAAGCAGTCGAACTATACAGGCTCTAACCCCTTTTTAAGAAATCAACTCTTATATATAGAAAGGAATTTCACACCACTACAATTTATTCTAGTGGATTATTCATTGTCTGCTGTGCAGTTTTCTACAATGTTAAATAGTTTATTTATATTTATAATGCATTTGCATTAGATAAAATCGACTATTTAATCCATTTAAAGGAAGAGCCCAATTGGGATGAAAACTTAGTACTCCAGTTTTACATAGTTTCGTGGTTGAAACTTAAAATGGAAAACAGACGAGTGGTTCCTGAACTGAGGCTCAGTTATACAGTGGGTTTAAGCATTTAAGTGATTTATAAGTTAACCCCAAGCCTGAGTGCTACTATTTTCGTTTAAGAATTTCTAAGAATCCTTAAGCAAACGCCCATAATCAGATTAAGAAACCGTTTGTAAAGAAAAGGGTGATAATGGCTTCTAGGTAACTGCAACTCGCAGAGAAATCTAAAAATGGCAGAGTTGACCTCCAGAGGAAAATAAGGATAGAAATAAAATACACTATTAGAAAGGGGAATCAGTGACCTTGGCAAACGAAACGCTAAGGTAAGTTTAAACTCATTTCCCAAGTCAGATACATTTTCCAGAGAACTTTGAATCGAAAGACATGCCATTAGGAGGATAATAGGTAGAGCATCGGGTATCAAAGGTGTGAACCACAGTCCGTTGGAAGGCGCTAACTGCTGCATGCACGAGCGCACTCCCTGGCCAAAATGGCGGCCAGGCGCTGCTTCCTGAACCGACCTCCACATCCTCATCCTCCTCCACATCCATATCCTCCTCCACATCCACATCCACCTCCACCCACCCCAGGTCGCCCATTTTCCTTCGCTTTTCCTGCTGGTGCGTTCATTGTGAGCGCCGAGTGGAAAATGTGGAATGCTGCTATGCATTTCTTAAACCAAATCAGCGGCCATGACAAAGCAGCCCGTGAGTTGGAGTCGGTATCTGTGTGTGTGTTCTGCCCTGTTGTTTGTCTTTGCTTTGTGCTGGCACTCAAAATAGGCGAAAAGAAAACACCACCCCGCAGTCAGCGAGCCCCTTCCAAAACTACCAGCTGATGACGTTGAAGCCGCTCTTGACTTCGACCCGGCGAAAAAGTTTTTCCACTATGCACGCAATTTCCTCGGGAGGAACTGTAGTTTGTTGCTCCGTCGCTGGTTTTTCTTTCAGCTTTGATGCACAGAGACAAAAGCATAATGACTCCATTTTCGTATTGCCTTTTGAATATTTCACTGCTGTTCTTTGTTCATGAATATTCGTTATTCGGTACTTTTATATTTCATAAATATTTATACACTTATCGTAGGGTTTTCCTAAAGTCAAAAGAGGGTTGAACCTATTTTTTTTTGTATCCGTAGGTATGCTATAAAATATGTAGAAGTAAATGAAAATTAGAATTGTATGTTTATTGATATTTTCATTCTTCCATTTATATTTTATAAAATTCTTATTATTATTATTATGCAATTGTTGACTTAAGGATGTTTTTTAAAGCTCAGAAAATAACTTTATGTAGCTGAGGGCACCAGCTCCATTACTTTATATGTATAAATTAAATACAAAAAATCTTTAGTTTTTTATTAAAATTCAAAAAACAAAAAAATTCTATTGAACAGAATTTAAATAATTAATGTTGCTGTATTTTGATTTTTTTTTCGAGGATATTGATATTAAAGTTCTAAATATATTTTAAGGTGTAAATGTATTTTGTTTATTAGGAAAACAACAATTAGTTAATCACCAATTTAGGTGATATTTTTTCTCAGCGTTTTATTTTTGTATTGTTATTGTTGTGTTGTTGTTGTTCTGGTGCGGGCTGCTGGTTGCTTCAGTGCTGGTTGCTGTTGTTGTACCGCCCGAAGGCAGCGGTCGCGTTGTCATTTTTGGGACTGCGCGTGGATGCTCTTGCTGTTGTTTCATTACTTTGGTGCATAAAACAAATGCGCATAGTTGCCGTCAGTTATTATCCACTTGCAGCGGCACTTTGTGGCAGCCACCATGTCACCATTTTACAGGGAATACGAAGAGAATCATGGCAACAATGCGCCCCCTTGGCCAGAACGCGTTTTCTTTTCGCTTTGGCTTTTGGTAGCTGGCTTAATCAACACGACGACGTTACTGTGAGCCACAAAAGGCATTCCAATTGCCCAGGCTCATGCTGAAGCTCAGTTCCAGGATCCAGCCAAAGGACCGGCCAGGTCCACGCCCCCCTCCCCCTTTCCCTCACCGCCTAACCGTCGCCCCCCGTGCCCCCAACTCGGCCGCAAGTATTTCTGGGACCAAATTATTTTCATAGCTTTAGCTTAAAAGCTGAAAATGCCGCTGCCCCTCTGGCGCTGGCAAAGAATTAAAAATATTTACAGTATTTCCAAGTGAGCCGCACAGAACAACAAACAGTATGTTTAAATACAAAAAAAAAATGAAAAGGAACGCAGGAAACTTGGACGAGCATGAGACAAAGGAAATGTCATCCATCCTTGTGTGTGAAGGATCGTGTGTGTGTTTTTGGTTACCACAAGGGTCGAAAAAATGCAAAGCATTCCAAACAAATATGATAAACCATAATTCCGCTTGCCATTGAGATAGCTAGCTGGCAAAGACGAGTAGAGAACTTTTGTCATTTTCATTTTCACCAATTTGCACAAAAACCACAAGCAAATATCGACAGCTCTACAAAGGCTTACGCCATGGCCAGGGATTAGGACCGTCCGAACTTTTCATGATTAATGATGCCTTGCAAAGTTCGCCTTTAACTTTGCCTTTTCCCATGCCACATTTCCCTTTTCCCAATTTCTCGGTGTTCGTTTGATTCAGTCAACTGTCGGCAGTCGGCAGTCATCACATCATTTCAAAGCGATTTCCTTAATGATTGCCCATGGTTGTGGGTGGGTTTTACACCAACCACATAAATTCACCCATTCCCTTACCCATTTTCCCCAGCTGCATAACTGATTTAATCAGACTCAAGCTGCATTCAAAAGTATTTTAACAGCATTTAGAGCAATGCGCTTTTTAATAGACCAAAACCCTCTTGACTCTTTGGGCCTGACTTAATTGCTTGGCCGGGCCAAAAGTGAAAAGCGAAACAGCAAGCACCAGGCTGATTTTGGCAAGCTGCCCTGTCTGCGCTCAGAAATTAAATTGGCCATGTTTAAACAGCAAATTTGGACAAAATTAGACGGGCTTTTATAGTTATCCAAGGGCCGGTGAAGGGGGCCACACAAAGGCAGTGGCCTACCAGAAATTTATGCAATACCCAGCTTGCCAGTCAAATGAAGCAAAACCACAGCCGCAGCTATTTGAGGTGGCCCCATGACTATCTAATACCCTGTAATAACCACTAGCTAAAAGTGGATCCCACAAGGCATATACCCCAATAACCCCCAATATGCGGATGATAGCCCGCCCAGTCTATCAGTCTGAATTCGTAATGAGATGAGTGCACCACGAACAACTTACGCAAATATTTGGCAATTATCTAGTTTCGGTTTCGTTTCGGCCGAAATCCTGAGTACGGAAGACTGGACTCGTACCCTCGCCACGAAACATCCACACCGGCATTATTATAATGACTGAACATTGCTGCAAATTAGTCAAAACAAAAAAGTTGGTGGTGCGAATGAAAGTGCGCAAAAAAACAGAAAAGTAAACTCCTGGGAGTTGAACGAATGTGAAGATACACTATTTACAAATTGGCATATACTCAGTTATAAGGGCTGTGATAATACAAATATCTAAATAATAATATATAGAAAACTAAATTCTATAAACAAAATTTTGGATTGATATTTTATATTTCTTTAATTTCTTATAGTACTGTTTGTTGCATCTTAACAAGAAGACTTGATTAAAACAGTTCTTAATTCTTTTCACAAAAACTTCTTTAAAACTATTTTCTTATAAATAAAGCTTTAAAATAAAATTTAACAAATTTGGAAATGATAATTTAAAATCTAGGTTTTAATCGTAATTTGGTATGGTATAAACCAATACCTATACCAAAATACATATTTGCCAGACTTATTTCTAAATTACTTCAATATAAAGAACACCTAAAAATGATTAAAAATGTTGTTATATATTTTTAAAATCGCAAATTTTATATAAAAAACATTTATTGTGTTTTTATATGAAATTTGCTTAAATTACCAAGCTCTTGCCTTTGGCTTTCGATAGGGACCCCATTGTAGGATATCAGCCATGAATGTCGCCTGTCACATCCTGGTCCTGCCATCCCGGACTGTTTTATGATAAGAGGGCTTCTGGGGGCGGCGGAGGGGGCGTGGTCACGAAAAGTTGAGTGGGCATCGGGCGTGTCAAAAGACAAACACCAAAACTGCTCGCTGCGGGTCTCTTTGTGTGTGTCTGTGTGTGTCCTGTCTCTGTTTGTCCAAATGCGAGTGTCTTTTAAATACTCATTACAAAATTAATTTGGGGAAAAGTTTTGATAAAAATCCTATTATAAACATAAATAAATAGGCTGGCCCTTGCGATGTGAAGAGAATGCGGGGGTCAAAGGACAAAGCAGTGACTGAGCAAACATTTGTGAGTAAGCAAACTGGAAAAGAGGGCGTTACCGCGGGTGGAGGGGGGTCCTTGGAAGTGAAAGGTAGTGGCAAAGTCAAAGTCAAACAATGAGGCAGCCAGCTGTAAAGGACGAGAGCTGAGACTTCATTAGTGCTCATCCACAATGTATGCTGGTGTCGTCTTGGTCTTGGAATTTCGGCTGTTCGGTCTTACGGTCCTTTATATGGCTACCCCATATCCTTTTCTTCCTTCACAGTCCTGAAATGGGTACATATAAGGCATTATGGTTCCGCCACTCACTTGCGGTTTATTCTGCGGCTCAGTCCGCGACTATAGGCATATTCAATATTCATATTTTGGCGCGGCAAAGGCATTTATTACCCCAAAAACCCTCACACAAGTACACAGAAAAAAGTTTTTATTAAAAAAAAAATATGAATAAGAAAGGTATTCCAATATGAGTCATTTTATATAAATATATTGAGTCACAAATATTATGAGAATATCATTAAAAAGTAGCACTAAAATAATTTTGGATGTTCTTAATTTAACTTAACCTTGCCATAACTAAGAAAAAACTTGTAGTATCAACTAAAAGAATATAAATACGCGAATATGTCGCAGTAACAAATGTAACAAAAATAGTAAAATAAAAACATTAATTTTTTTCTGTCTACACACATTGATATGGCTACGCTTGAAAGGTGAAAAAGAGGGCGGTGCCCACCGCTTTCTGCCAAACTAAAAGTCTTGTTTCTGTTTGGCCAACGTTTGGCAAAATTTAATCTCAAACTGAAACCGAAGACATTTTGCCAGTCAACGCTCGAAAATGCTGAGCGAAATTGCTTTGCCCGACCATGCCCCCAAGGTGATTTGCATAGCGCAGGTGATGGGCAAGGGGCAAGGTGCAAGGGGCAAGGGGGCAAGGGGCAAGTGGGTGGTTGAGCCGATGGTGTGTTATACAAAACGGGTACTGTCAGTCAAAGAATGGTAGCATATGTACCGGTGTGTTGGTGTGCCGGCATGTTTGTGGCATACGCTCAAATTAAAAGACCGAATAAAAATAGAAAATCTAGTTTGAATAATAAATAGTTTACTCTGCCTAGACAAACTTTATGAAAATATAATAATGTCAAAGTTAATTGATTTCGAGAGCTTTATTGAGTGTGACTATGTGAATGAGTAAAGGTCAATTTTATTATCAATGGGAAAAATCTTGATAGAATCAATTATGACACAACATAAGACAATAGTTGGGTATCAAGATAAGAAGTAAAACCTTAAAACACTTAATTTATAATATCATTTTGTATGCAATTCTAAAAAAAAGGGAAGTCAAAAATAATATGCTGAGATAGTTCCATTCAATTAAATGAAAAAATATGAAACTAATTGGAAGTAATCAAAATGTACATTTTGTACAACTCAAGTGACATTCGCAACTTTATTAAACTTGTTATTTTCCAATTTATTTACTATTTGTTCAAAATAGTTGTCACACGCAATTAAGACATTAAAAATCAGATAAAAGCGCCCACAAATAATATACGATTTAATTACTAAGCTACAAAATGATTTTACAAATTGTTAATAAATTACACAAGATCATAATCTTTGGGTGCCAGCAATAGGGTTACAGTCGCTATATAAGCCAAAAGGTAATGGCAATATGTCAGTTTCAAATTCAACATGAAGCAGTTCGCATTATTCAGCATTTTTCTCCTAATTCTGGTTGTGGGATTGGTAAGAGTTGAAGGGTTTTCAATCAGCCGCTTGGCCTAACCAGAGATTTTCCAGGCCCAGATGCCCCAGCAGGTTTCTGCCCAGGGCCAAAATGGACAGCCACAGGGCCAGCCGCCGAAGCCGCCAAATGGCAATGGAAATGGCAACCAGCAGGGTGGACAAGGACAAAACGGGCAGAACGGGCAGAACAACTAGAACTAGAATGTTTCTGGGGTGGACACACCTCCTGGGCCATTTCCCGGTCACTTAAATAAACACTTTCTTCTGCAAACTAAAAACTTCGTTTCTTGAACTTCTTAAGCGTTTCAAAGGCTAACAAAATACTCGTAGAAATACAAAAATGAGAGTATTTAAATAAGGAGTTTTTCAAAAAAATATTAAAATTATGGAATACCAAAATATGCTAAAATTTTAACAAAATACACTCCTTTAAATATTCTCACATCAATGAAAATAGAAAGAAAGTAAGCTTCGAAAGATCAATGTTTATATTCCCTTGCAGCTCTTAAAAAATTAATATTTTATATTTAAATTTCGATGCTTAAAAACAATAAAGCTAGGTAGATTTTCCGATAAATTATTCGAACGTTCCCTTGGCAGCTATATGATATAGACGTCCGACTTTTATAAAAGTAAAATCGTATTTTTATAGGGCGAATTCGCCGGCGGTTAAGTATATGTGACTTAAAAAAGTGCTATGTTTTACACAAGTTCTTAGAGCTTTATTGTTTTAAAATTGTTGTACAATTTTTATATTCATCTCTACCCCGGCTTTGTGTATTTCCACTCTGTCTGGGCCAAGCCGAGTTGGCAAACTTTATTAATAAAGTGCACAAATTATGAGCATGAAACTCATGCCACGCGAACATGGCCGTAGGTCCGTTCCTGCTGATGGATGAGGGGGCTACAAGGGGGGAAAAGGACGCAGGGGATCTACAAAGCGGCAACTTCTTCAGCGACTTGTGTCCTACATTTTGTGAAAATGCAAATGCTTATTACTCGTACCAAAGGAGATGTGCCGCCAGGCAATGCATAATTGCATTATGACGGCCGGAGTCTGGATGCAGCTAACCTTCTGTTCAAACACTCCGCAACCCTTCTACCTCGCTTCATCCCCGGAAAACACCGTCTAAGCCTTCTTCTAACTTCAGAAACTGCAATGCAGCCATGTGTGAATGCACCTCGGAGAATAACCGAAAAAGTTATGCTATCGCTATCAGTCAAGAAGTGTAGTTAGTAGAATGGGAGTTGGTTGCTCAGGGAAAAAGTAACACTGTAATTGCTCATAAATAATGGTTTATTTAAAATTATAAATCTGCTTTTGTGATTCACCAAATATATTTAGATTTAGATTTTTACATTTCTTGAAATAGAGCTTTTTAAAATGAGCATTTGTGAATTTAGCTAATTAAACACTTTTTGGAAAATAATAAAAAGAGTTTTATTTGTGGCTTTTAGATAACCAATTAAAATTCTCCTTTAAAAATAGTAATCTTAAATAACGATTATATTTTGTAATTTGACTTAACAAAAACAATCGCTTAAAAAGATATGTTATAATATAAAATATTGATTTAAAGGCAGAGTAAAATTCTAAGAGCATTTTTTTGTATAGTTATTAAGATGAAATTTGTTTTGCTCGGTGTGCAAAAAGAAACAAACCCGTCCCCAATTACCAAATGCTGATGAAAACGCACAGCTAAGCTAAGCGGAGTAAAGCGAGGCGCATTCCCTTTGTTCGATGGCAGAGTAATACATATCTCGTCATATATAATTTCCGCTGCGAAGGATATCCAGTGTTCGGGAACGAGGACGCACCTCATCATCGTCATCGGGATGGAAGCTTGCCAGGCGGATGGCGGTGTATCGGTAGTGGAGCCCGAGAGACCCACTCATTGGGCGTAGGCGAGGAAAACAAATGCAGCTTTCACTCCAAGCTCCGTCTCAATGCCAGCGAAAGCAACACGTGACGACACAGGACGAGTGAGTTGCACTCGGATTTTGAGATTTTCGAGGGCCAACAGGAGCCAAGGATGTGTCCAACATGTTGCTTCCCGAGCACAGGACACGAAAGCGAGCACGAACCTCCAGTCACGAAGCCTCAAATGCGAATCCTGCGTGCCGAGCCGAAGGACGAGAATTGCCGAGCCGAACTGATTGCTGGCCGAGCGATTTTAGCCACGAACTGATAAAGCCGCAGCTTCACTGCTGGTCTACAGGCTAGCCACTCGGTCAGTTGAACATTTTCCATGCTGTGATCAAGTTGTCTTTTCCTCTGAGCGCCGAGCGCTGTGCACGCCTTGGACTTGGAACGTTTCGAAATCGGGCTAAAGAAATATTCAAAAAAAATATTCAACATAATATTCGCAAAATCGAGAAAAGAAAAATCAAAAAATATATATAAATGTAGAAAATATAGAAACCCCAACTTAAGCTACCAAGTTTAGTGTATATTCTCAAGCAGCAAGTGCGTGAATTGGGTGCAAGTGGTTAGCGCAATTTTCGTGGCGAAATAGGCGTGGCAGTTCGGTGGGTGCGGCTGTCCTCAGCATGCACTTGTTGTTCCTGTTTCCCCATCTGCAACATGAGCAACATTCATTGCATCCCCAGTGCAATCCGCCACTTGCCCAACTGCTAGCTGCAACAACTTCGCACGATAATTGCTTTTCAATTACTTGCCACGGGCTGACTGCCAGAATATTTGTGCTGCAAATATCGAGTTGCGAACTTAAGTGCTCATGGTTGTATTACATTGCAGGAAAACAAACAAAATATACAAGACATAAAAAAATGTTGAAACGACGGACTGACTTACATGCATTTTATTAGTAAATAACAAATACAACAAAAAAGAAAAATTAAAAAAAAAACCGAATATCAATTCAATTGAAAACACCAACGGTAAAAACAGCAGAAAACATTTTTGTAAAACAAATTATTAACACAAAAAAAAAGGTTTCGCCAGCAAAGAAAAGCAAACAAGAGCGTGGAATGTTAAAAATCGCCCATAAAATGCATTAAATAAATAAACTATGGTCAAAAGAATTTAATTAAAAAACAAAGGCAAACCAAATGAGGCAAAATAATTAAAACAGTAAGCAAACACAGAGAACGGAAAGCAAAACAACAGCCATATTCGACCGCAAAAATTGAAAATATTCTGTAAATCGAGGAGACGGATAGGAAAGAGAAAGGGCGTTGCGAAAAGAAAGAGAAGGAGACACGGTACTCGGAAAAATGAAGTCGACGAAGGCAAACCCTAAGCCCGGAGTGGATCCCAAAATTGTAATGTACACGAGAGAAAAAAGAAAGATTTACAAAATAATTGAATTCACAATACACACTTTCAAGTCCACTGCCAATAAGAAACACACACAAAGAAATCACAAACTCATGCGACATTGCAACAAGAAAATAGCAGACTCATTCGCATTCCTCAACCGAGCCAAATCATTATAGAAGAAAAGTCATTTTTCAAATATTTCTTCGCCCATTGCTCTGCGCTTTTCTTGTCGCGTGTTGCTTCTAAACAATTTCACATTGTCTGACTTTTTGCACAAACAATGGCATTTGTAATTTCCATATCATCTACTTTTCACTCTGCAATCCTCCCCAAACTCTCCGTCTTAATGTAGTATAATCACAATACCATTTTTATCTGTGCATCTCTTAAGTCCGCCAGGATTCACAGAATTGAGTCGAGTCAAGACCCCATATCGAAATTTGCTTTTAATAACATACATACCTCACAAATATGTATTAACAAATGGGTGTAGCCACCCATAAAGTCATATATTTTAAGCTTATTGATTTACTCTCATTTGATTGTAAATCGAAAAGGTTTTTTCATGGGTAATATTTAATGACTGTAATTTAGACGCGTCCCGGGCCCTTGGCTCATGTCTAATGAATTATAATTTAATTATGCATAAGGTAATTGCAATTTGGGTGGGCTCCACCGCAGCATCAATTATTGTAAATATGATTGGCCAGGCAAATAATGTTAATTATGTGGTGATTATTTAATGGCATATCACTAAGATGATGAAACACATTTTTGGTTTTTAATTACCATTTGCACGAGTTCTTCTCTTGCAAAATTCCACTTTGAAATGCTTTTGAGTGCAGACATTTCTTTAAAGTGTGCAAATATGTTGATTGATTTCATCTGCAGTTTTTACTCTACCGCAATATGTGAGATTTTTATTTTTAATCAATAAATTTCTTTCCATTTATGCGCTTATTAATGTGTATTTAACATTTTTGACTTTCACTCTTAATGATGCTTAAGTGTTTATTAAAATCCGTAAATATCCACTGTATAGTATCAGTTTGCAGTATCTCTTTCATTTCACTTAAGCCATTTATTTAATTTAGTGTCTTCGTTTAAGCTTTATTTGTCAGACAATTTGAACAACAATAAAAGATGAACAGGTGAATTTTTATATAAGCTTTCTAGAAAACATTTAAAACCAAAACTCATAAATTTGTGGTTCAGGATAATAAAATTAAAGGTTTAAATATAAAATTAAATTCAAATATTACATTTATGTGGGGTTTTTAGAGTTTCAGAACATATTTTGTTTAGTTTTTATTTGGCTGAATGCAAAACCGTACTGTTCCAAATTTGTTATTCGCTTTAACTCGCCAACCCACTCATTGAAATTCGTTATACACTTTTATGTTTTATTTTAATTTTGCTTTATGCGAAACTTGCTACTGCAAAACCCCTTCGAAATTCCGACAAATAAAGTCGAATCCTCTGCCCGCACATAAGTACGCCGTATAATACATATAATTTGCATAAGTGCTTGTCATGCATGTGGCATCGGCGCAAGGGACCGCTGCAAGCCGAATGTTCAAATGGGTCACACAAAGTCCCATAAAAATGGGTTAGGACCGGGTGGCGTAAATCAAAGTTGGCAAACTGAGCTGAAGAGACGAAAATAGCGACAGACATAACCGATGGGGGAATAACCAATTCAAGAGTTTCGTCTCGGAGGGAAAACAAGTCGATTTGGACCATGTCCAAATCGCTGGCAATTATGTGGGGAAAAACAGTCAATAAAACATTGTAATCACCGATGCTGCTTTGGTCCATGTACATGTCAATTTTCGTCTACAATCCGCTACACTTTAGTCCGCAATTAAATATGGATTTAACCAAATAAACAACAAATTAAGTAGCAGTATTTTAATTAGCCAAATCCACTGTTGGCGCACATTCGTTGTTAGTTCCAGTCACGTTTCATTGTTTACTTGCTGTATGTGTGCCGGGCCGTATTAATTAATGCATAGAAATGTGTATTTAAGCATATTTTAAAAATTAATTAATGTAATTTCTATTAAAACTGGCTATCTCCGTCCCCTCGACTACCCTTTTTCTGCTATAAACCTTTCAACAAGCCGCACAATTTTAATTAGAAAAGTTTCAGCACGGCCCTGCACAGCCGCCTTGTATGCTTAACCGAAAAATATGTTATATATACAGATGGAAATATAGCTTTGGCAAACACAGGCCCGATTAAAGCGGGACACTTTTTTGTTTCATATTTTCCGTGGCCCAAAGAAGGCGAGCCACTGGAAAAGCGGTTGAATTTGTGCATTTAATTTGAATTAGCATTTGTATTTCGAATTTCCATTCAGCTGTGCTAAATAAACGTTTGCCTATATTTTCGCTTTAAGAATTTGAATTGAAATTGGCGTCTAAATATAGAATTTCTATTTCTATGAGTAACTTTAAACTATTTTTAAGCTTTATTTATCATTGTTATTCTTTTGATTTTTTAATTTGAAGTACCAATTATTGACTTTATGAAGTTAAGAATATTATTAACAATACGCCCTGGAAAAGTAGTTTTTGTTGCCTACTGCAGGGGGCAAAATGGCGGAGCTACTTTAAATGCGAATGATTTTTTTAGTTTTCATTTGAATAGGAAATTGAGTTTGGAATGTCAATATAATTTGAATAAATTATTGTCAAGCTTTATGCAGATATACGATTTTTTTTTGGTCGATTATTAGCACCCAGGGGTAATGCTTACGGAAATTGTTAGTTGCCTATACGTTAGAGTGAATTTCAAAATTTGATTGTCATTTGAATTTCAATTTATTTTGAATAAATGTTTGCCAACTGCTCGACAGCTTTAAGGACTTTTTTGTTCGATTATTAACCATTCGCCCTGTAGTACTGACCACACAATACACGACAGCAGCGGCAAAAAAAAAAGCTGTGCAGCAAAAGTGCTGCCAGCACTTTTATCTCTCCCCCACTTTCCCCCGCACCCCTGTAGCCACGCCCACTTTTCCTGCTGCTGCTGATGGAATTATTGTGTGCTCAACGAACCGCAAACAAAATCTGTGCTCCGCTCCTGGTCGTTTTTGTTCCCATTTTTAATACACATAAAATGCTGTTTTTTCGCCACTACTTTCAACTTGTGCTTGGCCCTCTTATCTCGGCCACAATTTGCTGTAAAGTTATATGTCCCCCCCTCCCCCTCCCCCTTTTGCGATGGCTATTCCAGGTTGATGCTCGATTTTCGTGGCTTTTGCCGCAGGTGCGTAGTTGCCACCAGCGATTCCCGTTTATTAATCGTTGCTCATTTGTTTTTCGTAGCCAAGCCAAAGATGCTGACCAACGCAGACCAATAAATCAAATGTCAGAGACAAAAATTAATTATGCCCGCAATAGCGTTGGTGTAATTTGTAACATAATCCAAGGTGCCTGCTTCCACGCCCGCACAATTTGTCATAGTATTTATATTTGAAGCGAGTCCATTGGTTGTGTCAGAATACCCAGTTGCAAAATTTAATAAAACAAATTCCGTTCGAGCGACTTAGCCTCCAACTGAATTCAAATCTCGGCAGTAGCAAGCCCAAAATTCCGTAACAGGCAACATTCCGCAATCCACAGGGGCTGAAGGATAAGGGCTGATGGCATGGGCTTTAAGACCGCATTCCACCTGATCTCCTGAACCCCCCGAAACTAACTCAAGAACCGGCTGAGTCGGAAAAGGGCCCGGGGCCATTGGCTGGCAAACAGAATGGTGCACATAGTTCGAGTAGCTATTTTTCCAGCAACTTGTTCTCCACCTGAACGATGCTGCTATGGCTGTTGCATACTTTCAGTTAACAAATTCCGACTCCGGCTACCTGGTGTATACATATATCTACTATATTTATACCCTCCCGCCTGCCACACACACATGGTTCTGGTGTTCAGCTTGTTCGGCTGCCTTTGTGGAATTCGCTCATGAATTTCATATTCTCCGCCTGCAGTGGCATCGCCCTGTGGCAAGTGTGTATGTGCTTACTGCATTCGGCAAAAGATTCCCCGGGCGTTTAGCTGAAGCCCATGTCCAAAACATATACACGGATACTGCAGAAATCAAATGCCAACTAATTAGGGTTTTCGTCTCGAGGCACAAAATGTTTACCAGCTCCAAAAATGTGCAAACTTTTGTCGTTTTCTCTTAAAAGAAGTATACACGTGGCTTAAAATTCTATCCAAATTATTGTTTATAACCTAGAGCTTAAAGTTCGATCATCCCATTACTCTCACTACTTTTGAATTTTATATTAAAATGTAGGCAAAACGAAAATATATATTTAAAATTAAGCAGGAGAACGCTCGAAAGTCCTTAGCATTGCCAAAAACGAGCCTGCGGTTCTGATGACCTGTGGGATATAATAGTTAAATACATTTTATACATTTAAAGTAGAAAACTTACCCAAAGTAGCAGTGGCAGATCCACATTAAACATGTAGCCAAAAATCTTTGCCGGTCGCTGAGCCCTCATGATCATCATTTGCCAAAGTCTTCGTTGTTTAGGCTCCATTTCTGGCCAATTACAATTATCATAGACCACCTGTGCTATTCCCAAACTTTGCTGCTTTAGATATTCTCCACCATAGCAATACGAACTGAGTTGGATGATGATGGCCACCAGAAAGGTGGCTCTAAATGGCACTTGGGCACTCCAGCCACTGCGGCTAAAACGAAAGGCCAACATGCAGAGTTGCAGATAACTTAGCATGTACTTCACGAAAACGATCTCGGCAAAAATCGAACTTAATTCCTTTGCTAATTCAAGGGCCAAACGATGGCGATGGATGCTTTGGGTTAGGTGAACATCTCCTTGAGTTTGATCCTTCTTTTTGAGATGCAATTCTAGGAGCTGAAACTGAACCACCACATTGTGAATCAGCCAGGAGAATAGAGTGTCCGTTGCAATGGCCAACCAGGCGGCCGCTGCCACGCCCAAAACGCCCCAAACGTAGATGGGCCAATAAAATTTGGGGTTACGCTCATCAAGCCAGAAATTGAATTCCATGGGTGTGGTTGGTGTGAATAATCCCGTTCTTATATATCCCAACAGGCCAATCAACATGGGAGCTATGGCTGAGGCCCATATCACTCCGTAGGCAGCATTTCTGAAGGATCTGGAGACATACCTGTCCAGTTGGTTTTCCCTCTCCAGTTTTTCCAGCTGATTGGTTGTAGCAGCTGCCTCCTCATTAAGCTTATGTAATCGGTGAATCAAAGAACCAATACGCCTTCGTTTCGCCACAATGGCCAGGAATTTGAAGGTGCTCAGCGATCCCTGCATAAACACCGCAAAGTTGTCCGTGAGACGGGTTAAGTCCGATAGATCCTGCAGAGCATACACCGCCATGGGCCAGTTGTGGGAAACCAGGGATAGGACGAGTATCCCCGCCCAAATGGGATGTTTCAGTCTCAGTTGTGGAGAACTGGGATCGAATCCGACGATTTCCAGAGCTCTCCTCTGAACGGCAAAGTAGCTGGAGTCCATGATGTGTTTTCAACCAGGTTCGGCTTCCGCTCCAACTTATATACATGAGCCACTCGAAAAGTAATAGAGGAACAAGGGTCACGATAAGTGGATGCCGTTGCCGCCCCCGAAATTGTGCCTGAAATATTTATTTCTTCCGTTAACACAGTACGTGATACGGTTACCACTAACACTGGCAATGTTGTTTTGATTGGAAATTTTCCCATTTCCATTTAAGGGGGCGTAAATATCGTATTAACAAATAAATACCCAAAACAAGAAATGCCCTCGGGCGAAAAGCGAAAGGGTGGAGTTTTGACATGGCGGTTACCACTTTGCTTACTAGTTATTTTGTCAAATAGTTATTTGTTTTCAATTTCACATTTAAACGCTTAACCGGACATACATATGTATGTTCTTATACCGCAAGGCTTATGAATATGGATGATTATGTTTTTGTGCCTTGACATCTGCCCCAAAACATTAGGCTAAAAACCAAACTTAATATTCCAGTATGGCATGCCCCACAAAAATCTATTAAATTGCTTTTTAATTTGTGTATTTAGTCCCAAAAAGTTGGGTTAAAAAAAACTTCCAGAAAATACACCCGAATGAAATTAATTTTTGCCTCGAAATCCTTTTTTCCCTAAATTTGTTTGCCCTTTGGGTGGAAAATGTCGAAACCCATTTCGTGCGCACTTTATTCCGCGGGTAATTCAATTACGGTGGAAATCAACAAGTAAATCTGCTTTCCAATTTTATCGCTGGACTAGGCCAAATCGAGTGTAATAGCCTTTTGCAGTGCGTACAACCATTGTTTTTTATTTTTTTTTTATTTACTTTTGGGTCTTTTATTTTTGGGTCCAGCTTAATGTCACCTTAAATGCTCTCAATTAATCTCGAGTGGGTGGGGGCGAATAAGAACCTTTTCCTGGAATTTTAATAACAGTCATTTGCATTTCCCCCACCCAAAGAAAGGATATTCGTATCTGACAGCTCAACACTGACTTGTGCCAAGTTGCTGCCACAAAAAGTTATGCAACATTATTTTGAACAAGCTAGCCCTCGGCAGATTTATAAAGAAAGACAGAGATAGAGGCAGGGAAGACATATTGTATAACTTATAAAGTTTGCACTTGCAGCTTTTTATTTAAATTTCATTAATTTGAAGTCGTCATTGCAGTCGCACGTTTTCATATGTTTGCACGTTTGCATGTGAAATTGATATTTTATGCAAAATATTTACCAAAAAGCCACACAAGCAATAATGCCAGCGGCTGTGTGAGAGAGAAAGAGAAAGACAGATATTAAGTGAAAGAGAGAGGGAGATTGTGGGAAAGAGAGGAGGAGAATGGGGGAAGAGGAGAAGAGCACACCTGCTGCTCGATAATTTTGACAGCGGTCCAGCTTTTGGTTTCTCCAGCAATTTGCTTACCACCCTTCTCATTCTTTCAATATATCTCCCTCTCTTTCACCCACCGTATACCCCTCTCCCTCGCTCCGCTGAGGTTTGTAAGTCTTTCTGCGGCTTTGTTTATTTCATTGCCATCGTGTGTCTGAGTGTGAGTGCAGGTGTGTCTGCCTGTGTGTGGGTGTGCGGCTCCTTTGTGTGTCACCCATTTTGGAGGTTTTTTATGTGCTTGTGGCAAACCGTAAAAAAAAAAAAAAACGTCTTCCAAATGGAGTGGCATACCAGGCTTAACCAGCTTGCCGTCCCCCTCCTTTCCCCATCTCCTCTTCTTTTGTTCAGTTTAAGGAACTAGCAGAATGTTTCACATCATGTTGCTCATTTGTTGCCCCATCAGCGGGAGTTTAGTATAGGTATAGCATGGGTATACGGAGTTAAGGGATTACCAAAGATACTACTGGCGAAAAACTCTAAGGAATTGTCGAAATCTTATGAAACCTCCAGATCCTTTGGGTTGTTTGCCTTGTTATTAAATTTGTTTTGTAGCTAACTCAACATTAAAGTTTCAATATGCTTTTGAACTCTCATGTTTAACCTATCCCTTGTAAGTCCATGTGTTATGAATATTTTGTCATAAAAAAGTTATTTTTTAGCATGTTTCATACTTTTAAATGTCATAGCTGTTTTACTTTGAAGGTGAATTGAAATTCTTGGAATTTATTTTGTATGTAAATTGTATTTCCAAGGGTATCGTTGACTCGATTGCATTTAATCGCTATCCCTTCAACTGAGATGCGTTCTAAGTACTGGCAATTTTTCAGCCACTTTACACGGCTCCTCGTGTCCGGCTAAAAATAGAGGAAGCAACTAAGGTAGAACGAGAGGGTGGGATGCAGTTAGATAGAGATGGATAGCGGGCCATCGAGTGTGTGTGCGTGTGTGTTCCACATGAGCGGCGAAGGAATTGAATAAAGTTAGCATGTCGCCGCAGGGAATGTGCCATCTTTAGCCCCAAACCCCATCCTGCGTGGAAGTATGCTGGGTGGGAAAAAAAGCATCATTCAATAAAAAATTAATAGGGAAACATTCAATGAACGAGGCACAAAGGCGCCAAAGGGCCACCAGCAGACAGATATCCCAATCGCTTCGTGCTCGACTGCAACGCTGCTGATGAACAAGCCATCCTGTGTGTGTGTGTGTGTGTATCTGTGTGTGTGTTCGGAAATCACGGGTAATGTGGTTTTACGAGCACCGCGAGACAGGTGAATCCTCACAAAACCCCACCCACCGAAACATCCCCTTATCCCTTTTCCAACTGATAAATGCAGCCCCAACTTGGTCGTGAGCATGACAGCATACCGGGCATACAAAGCATGCTAATAAAAACATATACTACGTCATCTACATGTTCATTGGGGAGGGGGGTGTGTGTGTGTTATGTAAGCGGATGTGCAACACTTTTTTTTTTGTTGTATAGCCCGGCAGCCAGCGAACCGTTGATTATACTAAACTTGTTTACTTATCCCGCTGGTGTGTGTGAGTGTGTGTGTTTCAGTGCATATGTGTGTGTGTGTTCTCGGAAAAGTGCAAATTTCAGCATAACCAAGCACACTCAACCGCTCAGCTCGCTGTGCCTGTGTAAATTTCGGCTTAGCCACGCGGGCGCTAAGCAGCAGCAAGAGCAAAGCAAGTAGAGGTCCAAAGAAGGGGCAAGAAGGGGTTAGAATGGATAAAGAAGGGGGCAAGGAGTGGGGAAAGAGGCGGTAAAGAAGGATGAAGCAGGGGCTAAAACCGGGTAAAAAACGGCTAAAAAGTGGGTGCAACGGGGCACTGCTATTACCAAGTGCAAAGTGTGGCTCAACGTGATGAATGACGCCAAAAAAATTTGATGGTTCACGATTAACATAATGATTTGCATACGTTTAGCTTGTCCTTGATGCAAGAAGATATCGCAAAGTGTCACAAAAAGAAAAGTTTTACTAACGAAGAGTATCATCTTGATTGATGCGGAAAACGGCTGAGGAGAGTGTCAATGTTGCAATCGAAGCAGATGCAGCACATTTTCACATTTTGCCTTGAATTGTCAAGGAGGTTTTAGATTTAATCTTCAATAATTTTTAATTTTTTAACATGCAACATTTCATACAATTAAAATAGGTGAATTTCTCTCTAGCATTTACAATAAAAGAACTAATAGGCTGCAGAAAAATAAAATTGTTTAGATTGTCTAAAAGAGACTTATATAATTCTTTGTTTAAGAGTAGGTCTCAGGAAAGTCTATTAGAACTGGAATTAGAAGCTACGTTTTCAAACAAAAATATTATTTTTTCTCTGCACGATGTGAATGCTTGCAATTTTTACAATTTCTGTATTGCAGCCATGGCAATTCTAGCTTTTGTTAAAGTGGTTTCGCATGTAACATGTGCAGGCATTACCACACATCCTATAATGTTGCATACATGAACAGCTATGCACTCTTTCAGCAATGTTGAAATTAATTTGAAGCGTAGAAAGCGTAAACAGGGGCGAACACAAAGCTATTACCTTCGGAGGGGAGAATTGAGCGGATTTTGCAGCAAACGGTATAAATAAATAAACGAACGAAAATCGAACATGCTGTGCGAGTTTTTCAACTGTAAGAGCAACATCAAAAGTTCTACAAAAAAAAAGTTGCAATTGAATAGGCGAAAACTTCCCAGACGAATGCAGACTCACTAGCAGTGATTGCTATTTGCTTAAATCTGTAGCTGCAGCGGGACAAATCTCCAGCCCCATGGGAATCTTATTAATTATAGACAAATATGTGGTAATTGACTATGGCAAGATACACACAGCCCCAAACTGAGATATATGTACATTATAAACGCACACAATAGAGTCTGAATCTGAGCTTGAACTGAACGTTATCCGGCGCACAATGAGCTAATTTTAAGCTAATATTTATGCAGCAATTAAAACGCTTCAGTTGAGTTGGGTTCGAGCCACGATGACGCCATCTCCGTGCATCTGTGCCCCCGTTCAACCACCCACTCAAGACCCGTTGAAACTCCACCACAACATTTGCTGAGCAAACAAAGTCAGGGAACAAAGTCTCACTGCAGAAACATGAATGATAAATGAACGCAAACTGCAAAAAAGCACTCCCGCTAAAACTATTCCAGATCATGAATAATATTTGATATATTTTCATAGTAGAGTAGCGGATGAAAGCGATAGAGATTCAAGTGTTCGAATCTTATCTTGAAGTCCTAGGGGAAATTTCAGGGAATCCGTTTTAATAACTAGAAATATTTGTTCAATATTCATGTCATATGTTTCTTTTTGAAAGGATTTAAAAAATGTTTTCCTTTTCATAAAAGAGGTTTGCTCTATAAGATTTCTAAATGTTATTTGAAGTTTTTAACTTGCAATCTGTAAGAGAATGTTAACTTTCTTTCATTCGGAAACACAAATTTGCTTTTTCACAATGATATTTTTCTAACGAAAAATCTTTAAAGGGTTGTTACAAGAAACGAACTGAAATTAAGAGGACTAAGACTGAAACAGAAATGTAGGGTAACTATTCTTCGTAGTTTTCATTTTAACAACCAATTAATATTAACTGCAAACTTAATAGTTTTCAGTCTGATAAAATATAGCACCAAACACAATTATAGCTCTGTTCTTTTAATAAATAATAATTTTTTTATTTAAACTCTAAAAGTGATGTGTAAAAACGTCATTTAAGACTTTTAATTCCAAGCCACTTGGGCTGGTGAGAATTATAAGTGCATTATAAGAAGACAAGTCTGATTGCCCCAGAGAAAACTGAATAGCTGCTCTTATCACCCATTCCTTTGCACCATGGATATATTGAAAAGTTGTGCACTAAGCCCCTGAAACTCATCTCTAGCCTGGGATCAGCAACATCAGCTTAGTCAGAACTTGAGGCCAATAAGGCGCCCTCATCCGGCCATGTGAAGTGTCAGATGTCTCTGACTTTTGCCTTTGACTTGGCCAGCACTTTTATATCGGGCAACATACACTCACAGTCAAACACTCACACACTCTTA